TGCCCCTCGCCCCCTCCCTCTTCTGTAGAATGGTGTTGGCTGGTGGCTCCGAGACGAAGGATTTTCCTCTCCATCATCATCAAGAGCTCAGTGAAGATAAGGTAAGAGAAAGAATAAGGATACCATTTGTTTCCCGCAACCGAACTTGAGATAGTCATATAGTACGCACGAATAAGTGCAGTGTGTGTGTGTGTGTCAGATGGTAATGTTTATGTCCAGGGAAATCAACTCGTTTAGGTGGGTGTATGTGTAGGGTGATAGCTGTGACACCAATAAGTCACCAATTTTGGGGGCGCCACAACACCGAACAGTTCTCTCTAAAAGTATGTTACCAATGACTTAATATAAACAAGATTACACAAAATTTCCGTCGGGATGTATGTATGTTCCTTGTAAGTGGCTAAGTGTGTTAAGCTAGCTCTAACCTCTATAAAAAAATATAAAAAAATAAAAATAGAATAAAATAAATAAATCTAATTCACTTGGACGACCATTCAGGACACCCCTAACCACGCGATGTTTAGAAAATGACTTCGCGTAAACAAGATTAAATGTGCAGGCGGGAGGTAATGTGTGCTTGTCCATGTGACTCAACTGGCCAGAGTGGGTAAGTGCAGGGTGAGGGCGGCACCAGACCCGTGTAATGAGAAAGCAGGAGGGACACTCTCTCACCTGGACCGTCCACTGTTGGTCATTACTAAAATAAAGTACGCGAAATTAGCAGGCGACAGGTGAGGTAGCTGTGTCGGGGGGGGGCAAATGTAAGGGGTGTGTGACTAAATGACGGCGAGAGATGGTGAGAGCTTGTGTGAGTGTATGTGAGAGAGAGAGAGCAAGGTTAAGCGTGAGAGAGAGAGAAAAACGGTGGTGATAGTAATGGTGATGGTTAAGTACAGTTAAATAATTCAAAGGGGAGCTTCGATCCTAGCCACTACCTTTACCTCCCCCCCTCCTCCTCCTGCACTAAGCAATACAGTACATACGTCAAGTGTACACAGCCACGTACTACCTGACACCATCACGCCTGTAGCCCGTGCCATTATAACCTACTGTGTGGCACCATGCACTGCTCTAACACCAACTGCCTTACTTTTTTGTACCATTCACTACTGTATCCTGTACTATTGTTCATACCACCTCAACGATTTGCCATGCCCTGGTAGTCTAGCAGGGTTGAAGCAATTAAAGATATGATCAACTAAACTGCACTCGAAAGGTGGGGAGGGGGCAAATTACACCCAGTGAGACCTCTTTCACAGATATGACCTTGACCTTTGACCTCAGTCACAGCAACCCAAGGAATTGTCATGGTGAACACTGAAGCTCTTGCCGTTCTCAAATTATGTTACTCACACACACACACACGTAGATATATCGAGACGCCAGTGACCGCCTCTCTCACGCGACCCCGTCAAGCTGGAGTAACAAGAAGCCTTCAATATTACCAGTCACAGTTACGCAACTTGACATAATATAACCAATACAACACACACACACACCACTACTACTACTGCTGCTACTTTGCTGTCACTCGGAGTTGGAGTATGACGATCATCCAGTGATGACAGAATGATACGAGTTATTAGTGATGTTACTTTCCTTGGTGAGCTCCAAGGTGTCTTGGGAGGCTGATACGGGCCCGACAGAGTTATCCGCAGATGCTGAAGGTGTGGAGGGATGGCGGCAGCGTCTTTCCAGCGATAGGGCTTGTCCGCCTCAGTATTCAGTCCAGCTACCTCTAAAGTATTAATACCTTCTCGTGTGGAGTGATCGTCTCCCAGGAGAAGGGGTCGATTGATACTTTTTCAGGTTTGTCTTATTCTTAACTTTTACCGTTGTCCGCCAGCGTTACGTTTGGCATTCTTCAGATGATTGTAGAGTGGCAGCTTTGTGGATAACACGGCCAGCCCAACTTAGTTCATGGATAATGGCAGCATCGGTAACCCTACTCTTGGTGTAGGTGTAGGCGAGAATATTTGTCCTCTTGTCTTACCAGCGAACTCATAGGAGGGAACGTTGACTGACACACACACATAATAAAAAAACCTTGATCATTAAAATTTCAGCTCACATCTCCAGTGATCCGCTGACTCCATGTCCCAGACGTGTGTGTGCGTGTGTGAAGGACTTGATCATGTACAGTACACACACGCACATACCAACTAAACGCACACAAAACAAATTTAGTTTGAGTGCATGTGCGTAGGAAAAGGTCATGTACTCATACATACCTAAACGTAAACAGAAAACAAACCTACAGTATGTGCGTGTGTGTGTAAGATAAGATCTTGTATACACACCAGTAACGAGACAACCTACACGGCAAACTTATCCTTCGAGTATGTGTGTGTGTGTGTGTGTGTAAGACTGAAAGACGCACAGATCACAGCGAAGAACAGGTACACGGTATACATATATGAGGTGAAAAGTAGGATGTGGTAGGAGTATCCTAAAGAGGGGGAATAGAAAGACTATGACATTGTAGAATTGACAAGAGAAA